GATTAGAAAATATTTATAATTCTGATCAGAGCGGATTTCAGTTAGAATTTCATTCCGGTCGTACGTTATCACATAAAGGCACAAAAAAGATAGAATCTGTAGTACAGTCCATATCAGCAACTACGCATAGTTATACTATACAGCCGACAATTTCAGCGGATGGTAGATTATTGTCTCCGCTTTTCATTGTTTTAAAGGAAGTAACAGGAACATTTGGTCCTAGAGTACAGGAAACTATGTTCAAAGCGCCTAATATTTTTGTTACGGCTTCTACATCAGGAAAATTAACGTCAAATCATGTAAAAACCTGGTTGAAAGAAGTATTTTTTCCGAATGTTGGGCCACAATCTGTATTATTATTAGATTCTTGGAGTGGGCATTGTCCCAACATAATAGCGGAAACTAGAACAGATTATGCAACAGATATTGTTTTTCTAACAATTCCAGCCGGTACAACAGGACAAATACAGCCATTAGATGTATACGGCTTCCGATTATGGAAAAATTTTATTAGACATTTTTCTGATACTGTTTTATTGTTAAATCTTGCAATTGAACTTCATACTAGAAATAATATTTTGAAATTACAATCATTAACGCACCATCAATTCTCGTCGCCTAGGTTTCAAAGTTTATTTCGATATGCATGGTTTAAAAGTGGATATGTAGAGATTAGACCAACAGAGTTTCAAACACCGGTTGAATTTTGTTTCCAAATGGATTCGAAAGTAAATTGCGATATTTGTGGCGAAATTGCCATAATTACTTGTTCTTGGTGTAAAAAATCGCTTTGTATTACACATTTTTTCCATGATCATCATCTTTGTAACGAATATGTGCAATAAATATAATACATTATCCGTTCATATGCAAATTCTGTACTGTTGCTTTAAAATATATTGTTAAATAAATATTATTGTCAAATATTGTTCTACTACAATTTATTATTCCTTTCTACTTTGTTTCCTTATATTACTATTCCATAATTTATCCGGAGTTCTCTGTTATCTTTAGCAATTAGTAATTATATATTGTATATTCACATTACACGCTTTCTCTCTCTTGCAAAAGTAATAGAATATGTGTTTCTTTTATTTCATGCATTACAATTTTATTTTAACCTGCCTTGATCTTGTATCAATTTACTTTGCAGTAAACATATTTAATATACATTGAAAACTTCTGTACAAATTGCGACGCCGCGCACATTTGCTACTGTTGTTATATATGCTTACTGTTGTTTATCTCTGCTTACGTCTTTATTTCGTATATTACATATCATATGATTAGAATTAATTCGTTTTTATCTTGTAATATGAGAAAATATGCGCAAGTAGTTATAAAACATAGCGCAAGTGAAGAGAAGTAATCCAACGCAACGTACAGTACTTACCTACTCGCACAACGCGGTGCCTATAACGCGAAGTTATCAGTCATGTAGTTTTGCCAAGAATTGAATCGAGGAACCATACTATTATTATATATCGATGGATTTGGCATGAAATGCTTTTTAATTTTTGTCCTTACAAAAACTTAAAAATTTGCAAAGGTGACGAAGGGGAGAGGGAGGGGGGGGGTGAAATATTGCATTTTAAAAAATTTGAATAGACCGATGGAAAGGGCATAAGATACTGTAAAACTTTTGTCTGAAATATTTTTTCATATACCTCATATTTTAGGAAATATTAAATAAAAATGAAAAAGTCCGTTTTTTTCAAGGGGTGGTTTCAACCCCTAAACCTCGAGATAAGCACATAAAAAAAAATACGTGTCTAATGTTTTTTGATGCTCTACAACATATCCAATGCTCATCAAATTCGGTGAGGGACGCCCCCGACCGTTTCCTTGTGAGTACATTTTCAGGTGGGAAAATAGCGAGAAATTAAATAAAAGAACTAAATTTCACAGTTAAAATCAACATAAGTTCATTAGTTACAATCGTTTCCGCAAGATATGTTTTTTTTTATATTACAATTTACGTCCTTATCACGGCTATTTGAGCCGTAAAAAAACGTTTCTAAAACGTGTTTGTGCTACCTGGAATGTGAATTTGACGTTACAGAAACATTTATTTAACATTATTTGAGGAACGTTATCACAGAATGTTCTAAAAACGTTAATGTTCTAATAACATTAATTACAACGATATGACATACGTGAATTCAACATTACCGAAACCTCTAAATCGGTGTCAAAGTTTGTCCATAATGATGTTGTATACAATGTTAAATATGACATACTTGAAAACATTACATGTTATTGAATAACATTATAATAATGTTGTAGTAATGATATTTGGCTTACTGGGACTAAAGCTGTGTATAGATACATATATGTGTGCATATATGTGTGTATGTATACATATATTCCTTTTTTATTTTAAGAAAGTAAATATCAAAATACTATATATATAAATATTATATATATACAGATATAATTTAATTGTGTTATTATATGGATTATATAAAATAAAACAAATAAAATATTATATCTATATAAATCTCGAGTATTAATTTATTTCTTCTCTGTAACAGTCAGCGTTTGCCCTTATCTCTAGATAAAATTATATACATAATCATTCAGATTAAGACTGAGTTTGTTTGGACGTTTTCATGCTGAAAGTATAATTTTATCTCTATTGTTTATTATATGCCTAAAAGAAAGACAGAATGATACTTTCAGCACGAGAACGTCCAAACCAAACGCAGCCAAAATTTTTGCCATCTTATGTTTATCTAGATAATACAAATATATACTATCTTCATCTTTGATAAATTTCCGGAAACCACTTACGTTCTACTACCACCAATTTTGACAAAAATAGTCTAAATAATGGCGAATGAACTCGACGAGTACTGCTTCTTCCGGTATTAAAAATATAATTTTTTTTTTAATGATACCGGAACAATATATTGTTTGTGTAATATTCTGCAACAGCTACGGACAGGTTGTCAATTCAATGCAAGATGTCTAACTATACTAACATTACACCGCGACTTTTGAAGAATGCAATGGTAATAGGTGACTGGCATGCTTCAAGAATTTCCGTCTGATAGACTCAAGGTACTTACAACGATTCGCAATAATAATGGGTGCTTTCCAGCTACGTGTTACACAAAACCAGTTTATTGGTTGCATATTATCTTACAAGACACTTTAGATAATATGTGATAATAAATTGGTTTTGTGTAACACCGTGCAACGTAGCTGGAAAGCATTCATCGTCAACCTGCGGAACAGTAATTAATTTCAAATTAATTTCAAATAGAGCTTTGCGCTGCACCGTACTCTAAGGATTGATAAATCACTATATAACTAAAACTTGTAACTTTTTTTGTAACTTTTAAACTGTTCAATGCTCATATAATATACCATCAAAATCGTTTCTTCAATAGTAAAAATTCTATCAACATATTCGCAGATTAAGTTACCAATGAAGTGGCCAATCATGTAATCGGACACGATACCAGTATAGGCCGATTGTTCCAATTTCTTAGTAAACTATATTTAAATCATATGCTCGTCTTTGTTTTTTTTTCAAATTAAACAGAGATAGACTCATGATTTAACTATTAACTGGTTAACCAAGAGGTTTACCAACAGGTATTAAGAAACAATCGGCTTTAAGTGTTAAAAGACCCATTAGACCAATGTACATGTTATTTAAAAAAAGTCACAGTTTTAATTGAGTTATATTACGTCTACTGTGTAAGTTTAAATATATATCTGTTGGCGCGCGTGTATATCTGTGTGTGTAGTTGGATGGTTAAAAATTACAGCATTTTTTTTAAGAGTTTCGTATTTCTGTATCCGATAGAAGAATTTTAGTAATT